GCCGAACGCCATTACCTAGGCGTTCGACTCTTTCAGGTTGTCGAAGTACTGCATGATCTGGTTGTAGTCCATGCCCAGATTGAGGTCGTCCAGCGCCACCGATTCTTCTTGTTCGTGAGACGAGGACGCGGACGAGGACGAAGAGGACGAGGACGAGGAGGAAGAGGAAGAGGAGGACGGCGACGAGTTAGGTGGCGAAGAGGACGAAGAAGCCACGGTAGGACTGGACACGTTCATCGAAGAGGCGACTGCGGACGTTGAGAACGACGAGAACATTGGATTACCGACGATCGTCGCCCTCTTCACCTCTCTGCTTCTCGCGTCTTTCGGATGCCTGTTGTCATCGTGATTCGCTAGCTCCACGAACTCTTCCTCCTCCTCCGCGCCGTTCTCTTTCGGACTACCTACTCTAGCTTTACCGTGTGGCTTGATATGCTGCATCTGTTGTTTGCTGTGCCGCTGGTTGTTCCCTTGGTGGCCGCTGCCCGCGCTACCGCTCGACGCCCTGTGACGGTGTTTCCTCGGGGTTTCCGGTACCCGTACTATCACTCCCGTATTCCTGTGCGGCGGTACCGGTGGTTTATAGTCTTCGTTGCTATTGTTGTTGTTGTTGTTGCCGGCGATCGCGCCGACCAGAGGAACGACCGGGATCGCGGAAGAGGCCATTGCCGAGCTCGTCACGGGTACTCCGTGCGGGGGTAGAGGCGGCGGAATGTCGTCGTTGCTGCGACGAAAGCAGTTATTCGATATCTGTTCCGAAAGAAGAAAGATGGACGGATGGAAAGTAGCGTAAAACAATTACTCGTTTCGCGTGGTTGTTACGGTGGACGTTGCCATGGACGCGGGTGTGGTCACCGTGGTCGCGGTTACCACGGTCGATGGCTTCGTCGCGGCCTTAGAAGCGAAACTGTTTCGCTGAAACTTGTCCCTCTTGCTGTAGGTCGTCGTGTCTATCGGACCGTTGCTTCCGGATCCGTTGTTTCGTTGGCCCGCGGACGGTAGTTCGATGTGATTCGGATTGTCGAAGGAAGTCGCTATTTCGCTCGAGTCCCCTTCGTTTTCACCGGCAAGAGGATTACTGGTTACTCGTACCTGAACAAATTTCAGCTTCGTTTAGGCGCGTTCGAACGTCGAACAGAGCGAATTCTCGTACCTGTTGGGGTCCGCAAGCAGCCCTCTCGAGCGTGGCGCGTCCCAGCCAAACCCAATCGTGAGCGTTCGTGGTAGATTCCCTAGGAGGCCTTCTTCCCGATGCCAGCTGGTTGGCCGCTGCTCTGGCCCTCGCTGCTCCAGAAAGAACCGGAAGCGCGGACCCGCCTAACGGCGAATCGGGCGGCTGAGGCTTGAATTTGCTCGCGTAGACCACGCAGGAAACGACGAAAACGACGATAGCGAAACAGAAGGCCGCCAGCAGAACGTACATTCCGATCTCGAGTGGACTCATCCGTGCGCCCCCGTGATGCCGTATTCCAACGCCACCCATGCCTCCTGAAGACATGCCATTAGCTATAGCCGTGTGGTGCTGCCGCGCCTGCACCAAAGGTTCGTGCTCGTGCCCGTGCTCGTGCCCGTTCTCGTCTTTCAGCGGTAGTCCTTTGCACACAAAACAAAGAGACAGAAAGAGAGAGGAGAAGGGTGAGAAACGGTACTGAATGAAACACGACAGCTCCCGAAGCCGAGTATCCTTCCGCGCGATCAGCAGGCTGCAAGAAGCGAGACTGAGAGGCGTGACCATGCAAGATAGTTTGATAACCGAGCAGTCGAGACATCGACGGTTTCATCGTAGCTCGCCGATGGATTATTAAGCGCGACGATGGAAAAGCTTTTCCACCTATTTTTTGTATTCCAACAATTCTTTGGCGTATCGAAAATCTCGAACGGTATACGATACAGTTTCAAGATTATCGTATTCATACATCAATTAAGCTTATCGAATTTCACAGTTTCGAAGGATTTCAAAGAATTTCCATCAGCGATCGAATAGCTGAAAAATTTGCAAGGGATAGTATCGAATATCCATCACCAGCCACAATGGAACGATAAAAGGAAAGCATTCCGGTAACAACAAAAGGTGTCGGTGAAAAGCGGCGAACGACGAACCAAACAAAAGGACGAGAAGAAAAGGGTATAACTAATGTTCGAACGATGAAAGAAGTTTCTGACGAACACGACAATAACGAGCGCTATCGGAAGACGAACGTACAGTGGCACATACGAAAATCGAAACAAGTGCGAGAATCAGCGGGTGAGCGAGCGAGAAAGGAGAACTGGATTTAGTTACCGATCAAAATGTCGTGAAGATCAGGCGCCATTTCTCCCCTGCTGGTTTTCCTCTCCCTGTGATGATGAGAACCGACGGTTCCTCCTCCGTCGTTCTGCACGAATTCTGGTCGATTAGGAAGATCGCTCGAGGCAAAATCCACTTCGACGTTGACCGAAGCTGTTGCGAGGGTAGCTGCGGTGGTCCTTTGAGAAGCTTTTCCAGACCTCCTGCCGGTTGAACGACAGGTATGCGCCAGCTGAAGACTGACTCGTAACAAATCACCCCGTCCCTCGCCGACCGCGATCACTCGGGGATGATGGGAGGCAACCATCGGAGCGAACGCCACTACTTCGGGGTCTAGACTCTCCACCAACAAGTAATAATCGCTGACAGCGATCTCTCTCAACGGCGTCTTGGTTCCATCCGAAAACTCCACGTCCACGTCCAGCAGACCCTCCTGTGTTCGATGGGAAATTGTAACACGACTGTACCATCGCGTGTTTCTCGTTTACGAATATTCCGACGAAAATGCGGTCGGCGAGACTTTATTCTTGTTACGTTTTACCGCAGGAGTAGAAACAGTAAGCGAACGGTAAGTAGATTTTGTATTATGATTTTAATTATTCGGTAGCTCTTATCTGTTCGAAAGCTTCTTGCGTAAAAGGGATGTAAATAAAAGGGTCTTTATTCCGTCGTTACATGTCGTAAGAGACGGTAAGACCAGTATCGATTAATTAATTTCAATTATGTAGGAAAGAAAGCATTCGAGAGGGAAATCGTTCAAAGAGCAAGGATGGAAGGTGTACTATTTATTTTATTTTTCAAAGCATTAAAAGATTGTGTAACTTCGTTCGCGGCGATCGATCGATTCCGAACAAATGAAATGCACCTTACCTGATACTGAGCAGTAAGTCTCCTCGTGACCGAGGTCTCCGCCACGTATCCATTTTCGATAGCGGTATCCGGACTGATGGTGAGCTGCAGACCGGACACGACTTTGACAAACAGTCGAGTAACCGCTACACGATCGTTGCCCACTCGTACTTCCTTCGCGCCGATTACTCGCCCGGTAATCGGCGAAAGTACCTGCACTTCCGTTCTGCCCACTCCGCGTCCTTGAACGATCCTTCCTTGCAAAAGAGTCGCTATTCTAGGATCCGAGACTCGAAGCATACCCATCACCAAATCGGTCACGCGTAACCATGTGCGGCGATTCACGAAATAAGAGACTCTTCCGGAGTCGTGATCGGTAGCGAGGAACCTCGCGTGGACCTCGACCGGACTTTGCTGAAATCGGAGTCTACAGTTGGTCGAAGATCCTCTGTCGATCGAATTGATCGTGTCCCAGCCGTGCTCGTTCCCTCGAAATCTTTCCTCTTGTTCGTCCTCCTCGAGGATCACGTCCGCATCCTCGACGTCCATCGAAGTGTCCTCCAGTGAATCCTCCAATTCGGTTGCGCTTCTCTTTTTCGTTTTCGTCGGGGATTGATCGACTCGAGAGTTGGTCGCGTTCAAACTACGTTTGCTTTTCGCACCGGCCGCGTGTTCTTCGGGGACCTTCCAACCTTTGATCTGACTCAGTCTGGTGTCGCCGACCGTCACTTCCAGAGGAAACTCGGGCATCCAGACAGTGAACCTGGCTAGGCCCGTGTACGTTCCGTACTTGACGAACACCGACGCGTTGCTGGAACCTCGGATTTCTGTGCCGTCAACGTACACGCTGCTGCAAGAGGACGATACCTGCAACGACATCGCGAAACGTTGGCCTCGAGGAGAAAGCCCCACAGTCGAAAGAAATAAAATAATTTGAACAGAATAAGCTCCGCTCGAATCGAAAATGTGTCATAAGACAGGGAGATTTGAGCGGTCCAAATATCCGACGTAAAACCTGGAACCGCAAATAGTCCCCGAAAATTACATACCTTGAGCACACTCTCGTCCTCGGAGTGACAAGAGGATTGTAGGGTAACGTCGGCCACGGTTCCGGCTTGGCTCACGATAAAGACCTTCATCCCTTGGGACACTTGGCGTCCCGTCAACACGGCGGTGTTCATCACCTCCCAGTTCTACGACAAAACGAATTCGATTAAAGTGTCGCCTTTGCACGGATCTGTTTAAAGCGTTCCGATTCTTTCTCTCTCTCTCGTACTCCTCATTCAGGAAGCTCGATTTAGGTGGCGATCGTTCCGTCGATGCAAGCTTTTGTTTTTCTCGAGGGAGTACGTTGTCGGAAAAGTTTCACGAACGGTCGCGGATTCGAGCCGAGGGAAGGCTTTTAAAGGGTCCCCGCAAAACTCGAGGCTCGACTATTTCATAGGTTCCGGCAACTATACGCGGCTACACCGCCTATGGAAGTTATTCTACGCGAGCACGGCCATTTGTCCGTGTTTGTGTGTGTACTTTGCAGGACGAGAGCGAGTCCGGTGTACGAAGCCATTTCCAAGTTGGCTTCCGTACAGTCTGCCCTTTGGAAGGAACATCAAACGACTGGGATATTGCAGCCAGGGAATTTAAATCTCTGACCCCGAGCGACTCTCTATTCGTCCACCTACACCCGGCCGCGTGTTCGTGTACGTATACGAGCGTATACTTTTTAGCCCCGTCTACGACCACGACTACCATCGATAAGCTCGATCTTAGTCTGGCAAAAAAAAAAGAAGTAGGTGCCGTCGGTGCGCGTTCGAGTGGACCCTGTTGGACTTTTTCCGTCTTCCTAAAATATTCCCTACGGTCGTGATTCGATATTCTTTGAATTCTCGCGAGTCGTAGCCGTCCTCTGATAGATTTCTATAGAACGTTTTTCCGGCTTCCCGAGTTTCGACGACGGCTGGAATTTCGCTGGAAAATCCGAGAGAGGTTTTGTAGCGGCTACGAATAGCTCTTATCTTCTTTGACAGAACCCAAAGTCCGAGGCTGAATATTGGAAACAGGAAGAAAGGAAATATGTAAGGTAGGGTAGACGAGAGTGTAGCTATCTGGCTAAACAAAAGATCTTCCACCGGAAGTTCCCGTTTCGTCGGCTCGTTTTGTTTCGACAGATTCCATCGATTCGGTGTTCGCTAAGCGCTAACAATTAGGCGCGAACAACTCCGTCCGCGATGCTATTTTAATCCCTTCGTTCGGACGCTCGTTACCATAGATAGATAATCCTCTTTGACGCTGCACGATGCATTTAATAGGTCCATTTATAATACACAAAGTTTGAATCGACGCGTGTCGAAGCAATCGTCGAACGCAGCTGCTCGGCCAAGATTCGAAATTCCAAGAAACTCCTCTCGCGAGCTACGCAAGTCTACCGAGTCAAGAACGGAGTAGCTCGCTAGCTTGAAGCTATCGAACTTTATCGGGAATCTCTGATCTACTTGGCCCCGTTTCGCTGTTCGCTCGTACGAGATTTAACTATGCATTATCGAGGACTGGTGCTCGTCAAAGCGCTCCCCGGGCCAAGTGGACGCCGCTCTTCGAGTAGTTAGTCTGCGTTTCTTCGCCTCTTGGCCTGGATACTTGTACGGTAGCGCATCGACTTCCACCAAAATGTTTCCCTACCGCTGATTAAACGCGTTTGCGCGAGGAAATCGGTCCGATTAGGACAGCTCGTGAAAGCACGGCGTCGAGCCGGACGAGGCGTTGCTCGAGAACGACGAGCCGCGAGCAACGAAAAGGCGAGGGGTGTCTCTTTTAATTAAAAAGTTCCCCCTACTCTTTCGCTTAAACCCTTCTCGCGAGCGAAGCGGCAATTAGACTACGGATAATCAAGAGAACGCCGAGCTTCCGGCAACTTCCTCGCTGCGATGCTTTCAAAAGGAATATGTAAACGAATTAACGAACTAACTAATCAATTAAGCTGCTTAGTGAAGCTTCGACTTGATTGTCGTGTACACAACAACGTTCTCATTTTCGTCTCGATTTCGCACCTAGGTTTCTGTTGTTCGGAAACTGGACTTGACCGTTTATGATCTACCCGGATCGACGTTTTAATATCGTAAATTACGCGAAACGGGTGGAACGTAATTGTGCCGCGAAACGCTGAAGAAACGAAATCAATTAACCCGGGTGCTCTTAAGCTTTTGGAATCTGGCCGGTCAAAGAACCGAGCGCCGAATAAATTTTCCTGGAATGCCGTGTCGTTGGCGGACCGACGATAAAAACAGAGCTCACCGACTCTACGTCGAGAAGCTTTATCACGAGGTGAACCGACAACCTAACCCTTTAGCCGGCCAGCTTCGACTTAATGCCGGTGTCTTTTTGCGCGCACGGCAAACTTTCCTCTTTCATTATTAGTTTATACGCGGCTAAAGGAAAGCTACTTAGCTAAATCACGGCAATCTCCAACTACGAATGTTCGTCGACGTTCACGGGGCAAGAAACTGAAACTCTTTGCCTCCCCCCACCCATTACTTTATCGTTAGAAGGAAAATGTTAATCTTCGTTACCCTCTTGCTGAACTTTTTAACTTTCTCGTTTATTTAATCCAACGACAGATTCTGTTAAAGGTAATTTCAACGATACGACGCACATGTACGCAATTTCCACTCGGTGTAATGCATACGCGTCCCAGCAATCACTCAGGTGGCACAGTATTGGAGATGTCGTTACATTCTGCATAGCAAATGTTGAAACAACCGTACACAGGCAACTGTTTACACTCGCGCATAAACTGCACACGTTTCTGATTTTGGTGACATTTCTCGATAACCGATAACAGATTTATAGCTAATATTTTCCTTACGAAACAATATATTCAGTAGTTACGTATCGAGGAGTATGGAGATTAATACGTAAAAGTATCGAAAAATCACACCTTCGTGGCACATTTATTCGAAACGGAAAACTTAACAAAGATAATGAACTAAACGTTTCTTTACTATTCGTTACCCGCGGCAAAACCCAAACGCCTGAGTAGTTGAGAAAAGGTGGATCGTTCGCTAGGTTGTATGCCACGTACTTGCCCGTATCGATCGGTACTTTTGCCGACGGTTATCGGCCAACTTAGCGGATTCTTTTCTAAGAGATTTCGAGGAGGGCGTGGACGTCCTGGGAGGATCAGAAGCGAGGGGGTGGCTAGCCTGAAAATCGTGTTGGTTCGTCGAGTGGCGATATTGCTACGCCCGGTGGCTCGTCTTTTGCCACTCGAATTCTTCTATTTTCAAGTTACCGCGCAAACCTGTCGCGGAATTCTCGATGCACGTTCAGGGAGCAGTTGGCGGGAATGAAAATCGCTCGGAACACGTATTCGCTTTCGACGCTTCTCCAACGATTTCGACAATTACAACTTTTATTGCCAAATCGTGGCCATTCATTGTTTATTTATCGACAAAAGAACAATGCATTTCGAGTGTTCCAATAATGAACAGCGTACGTGCCGAGCGATCTTCGCTATCTGGCCATTACGGGAAGCGGGAGAATTAGAAAAATAAAGCAAACAGGAAATCTCACCTTGGAAATAGGCAGTACCGCTTGAATGTCGTCTTTCTGTATCTCGAGACGCGCTTGAAGCTTCCGCCTCTCTGCATGATGATGATGATGATGTTGCATCTGCCGCTGCTGCAACCTCTGCTGCAGCTGATCCATCCCATTCAGCTGAGAGTCGTTGTCGTCTTCACCCTCGTAAGCGTAACGCACGCTCCACACGATACGACCTCCGTCCCAATTTCCTTCCACTCCTTCTTCGCTCGCTTCCAAAAGCATCGTCAAAATCTCCTCGGCAGACCTGCACAATCGCGAGACAACGGTCATAGCACGCTTCTATTGTTGCCTGAGAAACGTCGACGATTCGTGGTCGTCAGTCGATTCTTCGTAGCTAGGGTCTCGGGTATTCGTTGTAAGGAAACGATTCTTTAGGCGATAAATCACAAAAATCTTTAAAGATTGTCCGCCGATCGGGGATACGAATCGACTACTGCCAAGTGACATGTTACGAGTTTTCCTAACAGGAAAATGTTAAAACTTATCTGTTTGAAATTTTTAAATTGACCGGAAAAAAATGTAGATATGTACGCAACGTTGATCATACGATGAGCGGTATAAGCTTTTTTGATAACAATAGGTGATTAGCGCGTGCGGTTGCTTTACCGCAATACTGCACATAGCGGAAAGGAAACTACGAACTTAGGACAAACGTTTGGTGTGTCGAGGTACAATGCTACATAGAGGTTTAACCCTTTCACTGCGGCAGCTTTGTATGTCATTACATCAGCTACACAGAACGCGGCCATTTACAATTAACGAACGGAGTTTGCGTCGAATTAGTACTAGATTTTCTTTGCTGCATCACGAAGTTACATTTAACGCTGAGTCACGGCTGTTCTGGCATTTGTGGGTTGTTTCGAACATGACTAAAGTTCGACATTAGTGCTCACGGACCGCTTTAAGCGCGGCGATTAAAATCGACATTAGGATGACGAGTAAAGTCGTTACCACCGCATGACGAATGATAGCGACTAGTCTACATAAGAGAGAAGAAAGGTTCAACTCCTCCTGGTTTAACCCTTCGGAAGAAATTCGTGTCCATGCAGGGCTCAATTGAAGCAACATCGAAATAGATAATCGAGCGAGCGCTGGCAAGAAAGTTACGAATGCTCCCGTAACTAGTACGAAGAGTGGCATCGTAACGGATATAGCCGACGTTAGTACTCGGGAAGCGTGTCGCGGATGACGACTAAAGTCGGCGTTAAGAGCGAAAAGGTTAAACCGGCGGTGCAGCGTGTACTTGTCGAGCTCGAAGAAGCTAACGAGGATTTCGTTGAACGAGCAAGCAGCGAGGCGAGAACAGCTCGCGTCGAGGGTATTTCTAGTTACGAGTTCGTCGGTGTTACGTAACGCGAGCGCAGCGGGTCGCGTTACAAAATCGCGAACGCCGTGCAGTAACGTCGAACACATGCATTAACGACCCTTTCCTGTGTGACGTCACGTAAACGAGAATCTCCAGTAAACCTGGCGAATTTACGAGTCGAAATAATCTGGCTTCTCGACAGGTTTAACAAATTGAAAAGCGGAGGACGCTTGGACTAAGATGTCTTAGGAGCACGAAGAACTGCAGCTGGCTGTCCATGGAAATTCGCGAAGCGAATTCGTTCCTGTCTGCGCGTTACGATTATTTCCTTATTGATGTTTATACTACGTAACTTTGATATTTAATCTCCGCGACTCTTATCGTACAAATTGCCGTAATTTAAAAGATACTTACATCATAGAGTCGCGGTTTTCCTGATTTAGATTAAAAGGAATAAAAAATGCAGAAACAAACGTTCCATAATAATCTGGACTATCGCAACATTCGCGACTTGCTTTCCTTCGACAAATTACAGCAAGATCAACGAAAGTTATCGTCGAACGTCACAAGAAATTGCTCCCTTATCGGCGCTGCTAATAACCATGAATTTAATGCGACGTTAAATAAATATTAATCATTCGAGGGAAAGAGAGAAAAAAAGCAAAGCTTCACGTGCACGATAAAACATCTCCTTGACTCGAGTGATATTGAATGGAAAATAAACAGGTCTGGGATAGAAACGCGAGATCGAGCGCGAAATTAAAGAGGAAACCAGGGCGAGATCGACTGTCGTGGATTTATCGGTGTTTTCCCGAGAACCAGGAATCGGAATTAGAACGATCGAAGGCAATAGGCTGACGCTGCTCTCGAGATCAGCTCGAAAATGGAACGAGTCGAAGAGGTAAAAGGAAAGAAAACGGACTAAAATTAGCGGAAAGACGGCGCACGAATGGAACACGGAATCGATAGGGAAAGCGAGCTACGATTCGAGCTACGATAGCAAAATCTTCTAGACTCTAGACCCGTACGAAGCTTTATCGAGATCATAGGTCTCGACATTGCGTGTTTAACGCGATCCTCGAGCGTTGATCCAAAACTACGCGAACCAGTAAACTGTTGATTTCACGAAAGCCTTGGCCACGTAGTAACGCTTCGAGGAAAAAGAGGAAATCAAAGCGGAGCATCGCAAGGGTTAGCCGCGATAAAGACCATCTAATGCACACAGTGATACTCACTGTTTTTACTTTTTTTTGCGAATTTCTCCAGCGGAACGATGTCCTGTACGTTCGATAAGATCTCTTTATCCGATTCCTCGCTCGCGTCATTATTTCCTGCTCGGCTTTCTACTATCTCTGGTCCAAATTTATCTCCGGTCATCGCTCAAATTTTCATTACGTTCGCATCATTCGATTCCCGCGTGTACTCTCCGTATACCATTATAGAAGTCGACACACTGAACGCGAATAGAACGTTTTATTAATAAATGGGCGGATATCGAATGTCTACCGAAGAAACAGGGCTAAATCATCGCGCAATTTGAAAATATCAATTTTGGTTGATACACAGCAGGATAAGAGTGACATTTCAAAAGCGGTAATCGCGCCGGGCGATGCGAGGATTACCGTTACCGGTGACCGACCTCGTCGTATTCTCGTGCGTACATCCTGAAGATCTCGTCCGTTGAACCAGAAACTTTGGAGAATTTTGAGAATCCTGAGACAAGAACCGAAACACGACAGAAATGGGTACAGAAGGATATTCTCGAGGATCCCGATCTATTAACTTGATTGCTCTTCTATGTTCTTTAATAACCCAATAACAGATTAATCTAGGGTGGCCCCGATTCAGCCGCATTCGCGTCCCCATGAGTACCACTGGTACGCGTCATTCTGTTTTTTTTTAATCGTTCGATTTATCGGTCTGTACCGCTATATAAGTCCGCGAGCATCGAGGAGCCGGCAAGTTCGATAGCGAATTGTATTTTGACAACATGCGTTCCAACGCGCTGATAATCGCCGTTCTGGCGACGACGCTATTCGTTGTCGGGGCGCATCCATTGGCCAAAGAAGACGTCCCGACCGATGAGAAACAGTCGGACTCGCCTAAGTTAGTGAGAGTAAAATTGCATCGAATTAAACCTTCCAAATGTTCGGACATGGAGTCGTGCATCGAGGAAGCAGCGGAGACGGAGAAAAGCAAGGCGGATACTACCTTGGAGTCTATGATCGATAATATCTTCAGAGACGAAGGAGCGGAGCTCGTGAGGCAGCAGCGATCGAATAAGAAGAAAAAGTGCGACGACGACAGCAGCAGTAGCAGCAGTAGCAGTAGCAGTAGCAGCAGCAGCAGCAGCAGCAGCAGCAGCAGTTCTTCTAGCGACGACGACGATGACGATAATGGTAAAAGAAAGTCCAAGAAAATAGACTGCGACGATAGCGACGACGACGACGACGACGATGATTGCAAGAAACAGAAGAAGTGTAACAAGAAGAACGACGACGACGACGATAGCGACGATGATAGCGACGACGATGAAAAATGCGGGAAAAGAAGGAAGAAGAAGAGCATCGGTAACGACGACTGTGATCAAAAATGCACGCGCGAGAGGCGAAAGAGGGAAGCCGAAGATGCGGACAGCAATTCATCGAGCAACTCCTCCTCCGAAGAGGCGGGTCGAACTAATCCAACTCTTTCGACAATGACTCCAAACCTTGGGCAAGTTTGATTCTGGGAGAAATGAAAACCCCGTCAAATGTCACGGTTACGTATCTTGTTTATTACTCGTTTAATTCGTCATAGATAGATAAAAGAGATATTCGCGGTATCTGTTGTAAACGTTCAAACGCGAAACCGTTCTTGTTCTCGAAATACTTGTTGAAATAAAATGGAAATAGACGCATGCCCTTATCGAAGCGTTTTGCTTTTTTTAAATCCGATTTCGTGGCGAAACGGGACGGAAACATTCGTATAAATTTTCATTGAATTACGATCGAGTATGGTAATATGAAAGTCCTGTCGCAAAAGTCTGACGTACTTACGCGCTTGGTACTCGCGAAGCGTCCTCCTTTCGTCTCGCGGTGAACGTTGCGACCGTGTTCTTCGCGTTGATCTCGCTATCGACGATCCAGTCCGGATTGCTCGGCGACGCGTCTAGGATCTTTATCCCGGATTTCACTCTGGCTCTGTAACATTCATCAAATTACGATTATAACATCGAGGTCAATTGTAATCGTGCTCGAGAGGTTCCACTAATGTACGCTGTGCAATTGCTAATTTCCAGTTCGATAACTGTTACGGTACAGGGAAACCGAGAGAAAGTTAACGACCAAGTAGAGTAGCTGACATTGGTCGTCAAACTTTCTGGCGACACGGCTTCGGTTGTTAACGATTAATTCTTGAATGCCGGCTCGTTTGTTGTGCTCGGCATGCCTCGATTTATATGACTTCTTTTTTAGATCGAGTTAAAAGTTTCACAGGGTCACGAACTACTTACGGATTTTATGTAATTAATAAGGGGAGCGTGGTAATAATTGTCTTAACCCTTCGGATATTACAGAAGCGTACTATCTAAAGAAATCGATCGACCATTCGTTTCATAGCACAATGAAATTCTACTTTGTACGTTAATCGATCGAAGACGTTACATTATTAAAAAAGAAGAAAACCGCGGCTGACGTTACGAAACGAGCGACTATTCGATTAGTCGGAACACAATCGGAACGAGGCCAGCGAATTTCGCGGTGCAAACAAAAACGTTCGGTCGGGAAAGCGGTTCGAAAACGAGAAAGTAAACGTCGCGGGCGTTTGTCGTTGTTCCGGAAATCGTTTCGAAAATGGTCTGATAAAAAAGAAGAGAAAAAATCGTGATCAGCGGCCAATAGCGAGCAAGCGGAAGAGGAGAACCGATAAAAGACGAGAAAAGGTAGAAAAGACACGGTGAGTATCAAGGCGGAGACGCGACTATTAAAGAGTTCAAGGGTGACGCGTGATTCTCCGACGTTCCTTTCCCTTCTTCTTCTTTTTTCAATAACTTTTCGGTCGTTTTGCAGGATCGACGCCGCTACTCGGCAATTATCGACTCAAGTTTCGTGGAATAACGCGATCGACCTGACGTGCACAACCTTTCTGAATCCCACGGTTCTTTCGATTATTCTAGCCGGTTGCGAACGGTAATCATCTACCTTTCGTATTCGGGGTAAATTAGGCTCGTTTCAAATCGGCGGACCGACGTCAAAAGCATCGCGAGAAACGTCCAAGTCGATGATTGGTTTCGCTTCGATACGCGACAAGTTTCTCACCTGACCTATCCGTAACGAATATCTACTGACCTGTAACGTGTTCGTTTCGTTTCTGCTGATACGCAACGTCGACAAAATTCTTTGCAAAGTATTTCGCTTTTTCCGATATACGTATTTCGGGAATAAAGGTTCGTGTAGTCAAGTAGTGTTTATCTTTCAACACCAATATGAAATCGATAATGCTCGAAATAACTTTGTTCGCGTAATCAGCCTAATGCGAACGTATATAACAAGCTTGATCGGATCGCGTTGCATTATCGAACGATTGCATCTCGCATGGTATACCGCACAATAATCCGAATTTCGGCTATTAAAGCCTTAATAATTGCAAGAACCGTTTCAGTTAAACAATGAATTTTCTCTAACCGCGAGTATTAGGCAGATTTTTTGGCGGGACTGCCGATATGAAAGCAGCCTTAACATCGGTCGTGACACAGTTTGAACGACGATCGGTTCTCGGCTGTCGTTCGTAATAACGTCATTTTCTTTTGTTCATCGCGATATTCAACGCGAGAGAACAGAATCCGTCTCTTTCTGTCCCGTGATCTAGCGCCGGATGGTTCGTGGAATCGTTCATCGTCGGCCGCCTTGTCCCCTCGATTACAAAGTATCGGATTGAAAATTGAATTTCCTCGAGCAAGATGAAATATGGGCCTCGGAGCGAGCTATTCACCGAGCGAGCTCCGTTTAGACAAATCGTTACCAACATCGGTAACCTGTACAGACCGCTTCAAAAAGATTACACCGCAGATTTTTCGTAATGAAACGAAGTTCTTTACCGTTTCGTGATCTCGATGTAAGATACGAGCGATTAAATATTAGATGTCCGACTCTACTGGAGGGCCCTGTTTAAATCGTACGACAGCTGACGGGCGGCATAGAGGATTCCGGAAGTCCAACACCCAATTTTTAATCGCTTATCGTGTCTCGAAATCGAGGCAGCAGATTGCGCGACGGTAAAGTACGTTTTGATCGGTTTTCACGAAAAAAATCTGCGTGCGAGACTTTTGAAACGTTCTGTATAATGCTCATCCCTTTTTTTTCAATCGAACATTCGAACGGTGTCGATCATCCACTCGACGCGCGGCTCGAACACGAACGCCTCGTAATAACTAGTCGCTAGAAAATCTCCGCCTGTTTGCGTTTGAAAAATATTTTCCGTCGCACCAGTCCGATTCAATTACCGAGCGAGAACCATTCTATGCAAAAACGTGAGCACGACGTGATTGATATCAATTGTGAAAGAACAAAGGAAGCAGGAGAGAACGGACAGCAACGTGTTTAGATTTCGAATTTGAATTTTTTCACGCTCAAAAAATTTATTAAGTTTCACGGATATTGCTCGATCAAGATCGTAGCGGAGTCATGGTACTTTCTTCGCACAATTTTCTCGGTTCGTCGGAACTACGATTAATGGACTTCGAGACGTTAATGGTGAAAACTCCGCGTTACGGTATACCGGAAACGATGCAATTAAAACGTCCGAAAAACGCGAATCAACGCATAAAGAAGAGCGTTGCAGCAAAGTGGCTCCCGTTAATGCGTTTTAATTATCGCTTGCGTTACCTCTTCTAATCCTTTTCGTCGGAAAAATGAATCCAGCCCATAATATAAAACGCGCGCCAAAAACACCTACTCCGTGCAGTGCAGGAACCTTCGTCGCTACGTTTGAATCTTTTGCGGACCAAGTGCGCTTCACGAGTACTTGCTTCGCACTTGAAAGATTATTATGAAATCACGGAACGGTACGTGCAACGATGTTCGAGTAATAAGAGCAGCGCGATAAGAGAAATTTTACATTTTACAACTATTTAACTTGCTCTAACAATAGCCTTACTGAACACTTCACTGGCAAGCTCAGAATAAAACGACGCCTTTTTTCTCCTCTCCTCGTTCTCTTTCATTCCCGCGACGTAACCGCTGTAATCTCGAATTACATTATTCTGTACGCTCTGCTGCCTCATTAATCATTTGCCGCGAGAATTTCACGGACAGCGAGAAAAGCTTTAATCGAGTTCGAAGTCTCTTTGCGAAATTTCCTTTGATCTCGCGAGCTGTTCGAAATTCGCGGACAACGAATTCACGTAGGTGGAACGAAACGAAGTTTAAGGGGGTCTAGAGTCGCATCGATCTCGAGCAAGCAAATACCGAGCCACGATCGAGTAGCCTCGTCGCGAAATCGAAGAAAAAGAACAGCCGTTTGTTCGACGCCGCTCGAAAGGGCATTTCCACGGCGGCGGCGTCGCGACGCCGCGCCAGCTCGCCTACGCTCTCGTCGCTGCGAGTCTTTGCTCCGGAGAATTCACGCTCCAGTTACGTGACCGGGTCACGGGGTCGACATTACGGGGAAGTTACGATGCTAGACGAAGCTTGCCTCTCCGTCTATCCGACGCCACGTCTGATAGATATCTATGCGCTTCGCGCGCTGCTCTCTCGTCTCGAACGTGCTACCGATCGAGCTGTATCGCTTCGCTCCGTTGCGTTACGCCACAACGGACCGATTCACGCTTTGCTCCCGAAACGGAGCCGGAGGTTCCGCTTTGTAGCGAACGAAACCCCAGTAAAGCGAAATCGATCGCTTTCTCGTCTTCCCATCGAAATCGTTGTTCTCGACGCGAAGGATCCGCTGGAAATCTTACTCCGTGCAGCTAAACGGGAACGAGCGAATTTTGCCAATTTTACGTAACGAAAGAAACCTTGCGTGACCGCCTGGTGTGCATTTTTAGTTCTTCCAGCGACGAGAATGCAAAAGTACGCGCTTCGAAATAATTTACCGTGTACGTTTCGGTATGCACGAGGCGCAAAAAGCAGTTGATAAAAAGGTAGTTTATCAAATTCTGCAATTATCGAGCAGAGCAGCGAAAAGGTTAAAGTCTTCTTTGAAAAAAGTCGCAATTGGAACGAATCAATTTCCCGCTGCACTTTCATCGTTGCCGTTTATAATTGGTAGAAAAAACGCGTATCCGAGGCCGCAGCTCGGAATCGATACCCGCGATACGGACAATCGGTCGTGTGAATTATCGAGAGATCGGTGCACCTATCCCGGTGCAAATAGAATCTGCAGAAGGGGAGGTAAAACGGTCGTTAATTCGATGGACGATGCAAAACAAGCGGTAGATTCGATTTACGGGCGCCACCGATCGAGCAAGTCTTTTCTCTTCGACGCTCTTTCACTTAACCGATAAACTTGCGGGTTTTTTTTCTGCTTAGACGAATCTAATTTTCATTTTGCATCGACGTAAGTCTATCGCGTTAAAACGCGGCTGACTAAGGGAATCGAGCGATCGGGGCGCATTCGTCTTCTTTCAAATCGAATTACACCTTGCCGAGGTCGATTATCCGAAGCAAACGAACCAACCTTCTGTCGGTCAGCCAGCGAGGTAATTAAGTTAACCTCGGTTGGGAGCAAATTAGGGTTAGGAAAGGTTACGCGAAGCGGGGGACGTCCTTTGGCCGCGATATTCGAGCGAAGTGGCTAGCCAACGCGAGGGGGAGCGTTGTAAAAACGTGAACGGGGGAGACAAGAATTGGCCCAGCTTTTGAAAAGAAGCTCGAGCACAAAAGAAGGGTCGGTTCCCTTGGTTCGATGCTGTTGTTGCCGGTTGAAAAGCGAACGGAGGGGGTGGGCGTAAAATGGCAAGCCGGGTTGTTCCGTCGATGCAATTACAACTTCGAATCAAGTTATTTCCGCGAGACCATCGACGACATTTACATACAAATCGGCGACGTGCAAAGCGGTTGCTATCGAGCGGTTGCGATCTCCCGCGCCCGGCAAGCAGTCCGTGCAAGCGTTGACGAACGATCGGTGTCGACCAAGCGGCCACAATTTATTCAATGACCGCCACCGTTCGCGATCGATCACCAACCGAAATGAAACGAAACGGAACGGAACGGAACATCGACCCTCCCGCTCGATTGCGTAACCGGTTCATCGCGAGAAACGCGTTCGCTCGATTAAGCTTCGACCTGTCACCGATAATTCGTCCGATAATTATGATCGATACCGGAGGACGAAACAGGAGGATGAGACTAAACGTGCTACTCGTTTCCGAACGATCCTGAACAGGGCATTTCGAGATATCACGGTTTAAATAACGACCCGTTGCGTTTAGCCCGGAGCGAGCATCGATTATACGGAGTCTCGTGCAAACTGACGGTGTAAGTTTCATGAAAACGACTGCGTAAAGCCTTCGTTGATGTCCTCGACGCTTCGACTACCGCGCTAATCGAGTTTCACTGACGCGTCAAATTTAGAGCGACTCTGTTATTCCTTTTACGAGGGTTGACATTACGTACGCGAACGCGTCGAAGCTAGCACGAACCAACAGTTGAAACGGTCGATTCTTTGTTAAAACGAACAACGAATGATAAAGAAATTTTTTATTTGCTTTGTCGCGATACAGGTTTATCGCGAAACTTTTTAGTCGTGAATCATTGCGCCAGCGTTCGTCGGTTATGCTACATCGCGTATAAAATTCCTCGATTCGACCTAGAAGTCGATATCGTGGAAATAAAACTCGAAATCTCTCGGCGAAGGTGTCGAGGCCAACGTACATAAAATAACTCGACATTTTTCAGATAAGACTCGCGGAAGCTATGCGAACAAAAATTCCTTTATCTCTGCAGCGGCGTAAGTAAGCTCGCTCGGTAATCGAATTTCTAAGCAACTCGAGATCACGCTCGCACCGCTCGTGATTTCTTCTTAAGAGACAGGATGGCCTCCCTTTCCTCTCCGCGATAGAGATACGAATCGCGTTCCTTCTCCCAAGAGGTTATTTCCCGATAAAATCTTCCCATTGTAACGCGTTCATCGCGATAGGTCACACTTTAAAGCGATGCTTTCCCGAAAACAAACAGATTCGAGAAGAATTGCCTTCGATACATCGAAACGGGCGAAACTCTTGCCTTTCGACAGATCAAAGCGATCAATTCCTTAGTTTACGATTTCTCTCTCGCAACTTTTTCCGATGAAATTCGACGGTAATTACGAAGCAACGATACAGAAACTATAAAAACAGGGTCACAACGGAATTGTTCAAAGTTGACGGACGTCGATTACCGTCGCGGCAACGTTTCACCGTTTCGAGCACGAATAGAACGCGACGGATAGAGAAGGAAACTGTTGGAGAGTTGACTAACAATGGAAAGGTTGTAACTTTACGCGGGTGCTCGACAATTCATCCAATTAGGAAATTTTTGTCCTCGCTTGTCGTCCCACTTTCTGACCGGGCGCAGAATTCTCCGCCATACCGGTGGGTGCATTAAAGCGGTTTCCGGTGGACGTTCACGCGCAAGAAAAAAAGCCAGCGAGCAGGATAAGTAAGCAGGTAAAGCGAGTAAAGTGAATTTCGCCCGGTCTTTGCGGCGTTTCATCGCGTGTTTCCCGACGGTTGCGTGCATTAACAAAAACGAAACGGAAGTTGCAACTGTCTTGAACCGCGAACTAAAAACGAAGAAGCTCGGGGGAACGTTTGACTCGGGCCACGGTTGTCTGGCATGTTTCTTCGTCGCGAAAATTGCTTCGACTTTCTCGTAATTACTTTCCCGACGGTTACCAGCTACGCCCAAAAGAAGCGTCAAGAGTTTCAGAGCCTTTCTACCCGTTAATTCGCTGTTACATAGTCTGCTGCCGTGGAACTTCTCTAACCACGTGGTAACGCGAAACCTCGACGTTTAAAATATCTCTGACGCCTTTACGAGGAGAAAACACGGTAAGCGCGAGTTCGATTTACCGACTAACACGGACAACAGGGATGGCTTCTCTAGCCGCAAGAAAGCGGAAAGAAACAATACCGGTACCGGTAGTTTGTTTAGTTCGCGTTACTCGTGTTCGATAGTCACGGAGAATCTGTTGGGTAAACTCCGGAGCATTCGTACCGAATGAGCGGATCAGCTCGCCGTCCTCTATTCAAACCATTGCTCATTCGAGCATTTGGCTCGAATGAATACCTGCCTAAACAATACGAGTTCGAGCTTAAACCGCGTCTGGTAGGACAAATATCTCGTCTCGTCAGCAGTGCAGCTACTTTCATTACAAAGCTAAGGCGGTACCGATACTCTCGCCATCGTCGTATTTAATCGTTGAAAGCCTCCAACTGTAAACGTTACAGCTCCGTAAACTGACCCGTTACGTGTACGATAACGATCGACGATCGCTGTTTTAAAGAGTACTTACCTCAAGTAAACGCCGATAATGAGGGGCGGCCTGTCCTGTCTCGGATCGGTAGCCTTGGACGGATGCAGGAACGCGGGAACGTGTAATCTAGACCTCGGATAGAGGGGTCCATGCGGCACCAGCAAAGTCAGCGAGTCGTCCGCCTTGAGTTCCTTGTAATCGGCTCGATTCGGAGCCAAAGGTATTTGTCCGAGCGGCGTGACCGGCTGTATTTGTACTCTGGGTCTGCAGAAGCCGGCCCCGCTGTCCACGGAGCCAGTCTCCTCTGTTCGAGGCTCCAGTACCGAGTACGCGACCTGTACGAGCCTTGGCAGGCTCTTGGCGACCTTGACCCGACCGGAAGC